AAAACCCAAACAAAATTTGTGGCTATTTTTTATTTGAATATTAGGGTCATATTCAATAAATATCTATGGCAGAAGTAAATGAATGCTAGTGAGGTTGGCCTCAGACTTTCAAACACTGAGTATCAGAACAAAATGACAATAGTCTCTGACTGCTAAGAAAAACTAATTGTGATCAAAAGCAATGTCACTAAGACAAGTTGTCATACATGTGTGAAGGCAACAAAACCACATTCTCAGTTGTGCAATTACTTTTAAAAATATTCCACCCATTTATTCTTCTCAAAAATAATCACTCTGGTCATTCATTAAAACTATGAACTCAAGAATGGTGACATTTAGTTAAAAAAAAATAGAGATGTAGACTCTCCAACAGGACCATCAGAGCTTGAGCTGACCCAGCTCCCAACTCATAGTAAGAATCCTCAAGGGAAATGTCATTTCAGCTAACCATATTTGCTTAAAATTCTGAAGTAAAGAGCCTTCAAGAATGTGAGTAGAGTGTTTAATATTCATTATGGAATCTATATGAAGTTAAGGCCAATGATTTAATTACTAACTATTAACCTTCATTATGAAAATAATCGCATCATTGCAGAGAAGAAATTCCTCTCATAGGCTCTTTCCTGCAGGCACAACCTGTCATCAGATTCCAGTTCAGATTGTACTTTTTAAATATATAGACAAATACCAAAATATTGGTTGGTTGACTTCAGGTCATGAGGCTTCTACCAAATTTCTTTAATGATCAAGCATTACATTTCAATAAAAAATAGACAGTAAACATCCTTCCAGAATACCCATGAATTAGTTTGCTGGGACTGCCATAACAAAGCACCACACACTGTGTGGCTTAAACAACAGAAACTGATCATCTCACAGTCCTGGAGGCTAGAAGTCCAAAGTCAAGCTGTCAGCAGGGTTAATTCCTTCTGAAGGCTGCGAGGGAAGGATCTGTTCCAGGACTCTCCTTGGCTTGCAGATGGCCGTCTTCTCCCTATGTCTCTTCACATTTTCTTCCCTTTCTGTACATGTCAGTACCCAAATTTCCCCTTTTTTATAAGGACACTAGTCACATCGGATGAGGGCCCACCTTGATGATCTCACTTTAACTTGATTGCCTCTGTAACGACCCTATTTCCAAATAAGCTTCTCATGTAAGGTGGGGCCAGGGTAGGACTTCAACTTATGAATTGGTGGTGGACACAATTCAATCTGTAACAATTGTATTTAATGATAACTGTAGAAATACGCAAGATATCTGTGTACTTCAGGCTCTAAGAAATTACACAGTCCTAATCAGTGATGACACAGAATTAAGAAACAATCATCTTGCTGCTTCTCAGGACCTTGGCATCACAGGGCTTCCTGTGGCACTGCTGCCCTTTCAGGACTTCAGGGAACTAGGCTGTTGTCATCTCTAGTTCCTCACAGCTGTTCTGGGTCGCCCGCTGCTCAGGGGAAGTAAATAAGGCTTGGTTATCAGAGAGTAGGTTCTTGTCTCACGGCAGAAAGAATTCAGAGAAGAGACACAGAGGTCAAGAAAGCAAGGTGAGGATTCACTAAGGGATCGTACACTCTCAAGGGGAGAGCGGGCAGACACAGGTGAGTACCTGCGCTGAGTTTCTTTGGCAAGCTGGTTATATAGGGTGGGAAAATGAATGCACAAAATATTCATCGAGGAGGGAGGGGTTTGGGGATCATATCTCCTGATTTTCATCCCAGCTCCACCTCCCCAAAGGGAGGGGGGATTTTTGTCCTTATTTTGTCTTGATGGAAATTGTCACTCTGTGGGTGCATGATGGGTACTTCTACCTGCAAGGCTAATTTTATTGTAATGAGGACATAATGAGCAAAAGGTTACATTTGGACACCAGAGACTCCTGCCTTTTCCCACGTTTCTTTGTCTGCCTCCAGGACCCTTGTCGCCCCAAAATGTGTGGTTTCCTGTCAGTCTGGAGGTTCCTGCTTTTCTCTGTCTGCCCAAGGACCTCTGCTGTTCACAAGCTGTATGGTTTCCTGTCTTTTGACCCGCGCCCCACTTTCTGTGTTCACATCTAGCACTCTGCCTGCTCTAACAGCTTGGCTGACAGTTGTTGATTAGACATATAACACAGCCATCCCTAGAAATCCATTTTGTCCTGTTCTTACTGGCTTTAGTTTATTTGTTTGGCAGATACTGAGCACTTGCCGTAAAGCATTTTGTTGACAGAGCACAGCAGTTGAGCGTTTCTCTGATCTTCTCCCTGGCATTTGGAGTCCCTCTGGAGGCCGTAAGGAGATTTGCAGAACCTACCCTTTTATGCCAGCTACCATGATCTCCAAATCGCAGCTTAGAGTGGTTGCTTTCTGCCTTCCTCTGGAACTATGCACATACTTGTGAAAAGCTATGGGTGTAGCCCTGATCTGCACTACCTTGTGAAACAGTGCCTGGTAATCTCCACATTTTATACAATGAAAAACTGGTCCTGTTTAGACCTCAGGGAAACAGAAGGGCCATGCTTTTGAGTCAGTGATGGCATTTTCCTAGCAGAGCCCTTGAAAATAAGCCAGCTTGGCACAACCATAACTGCTAAAATGCAGGTTTGGTTCAGCAGGCTACTTACGTATATGGTAGGACCAGATAAAACTGTGTTGCTACAGCCAACAAAGAGAAAAAAAGAAATTAGCAGAGCAGCAATGCCTCCTCAGATCCTCAGCCTACTCAGATATACAGTAAAGTATATCTCCTTATCCTCTGGATCTGCCGTCACAAGGCGTCCCAAGACCCTATGTCATTATGCAAAGGAAAGGACAGGTCTGTGACCTGTTGGCAGGGAGCAAGTCAAGGGACTTCAGAAACCCAAAAGGCTCCTTATTTTAAGAAGCTGACTGCAGCATTTGACATGTCTTCATGTGTCACATGTCACAGGCTGTATTACTTTGATAAGGCTGTGTATTAGTGAAAAGCCTCAGTTTTCTATTTGTGTTAGCCTAGAGTGAGACCCCTAAATTAGGAGGCCCACCAAAGTGTGGCTCCTTGCCTGCCAGCTGGAAAGAATGCACAGCTGAAGCAGAGGGACAGAGTGCAAGCTGCTTTTATTTCTCCAAAGAGAAAAAGAAAGGAAAGTGCTTGAGCAGGGAGAAGAAAAATGCACAAGGGAGGATAAGGCACTCCAGCCCCTAGGGAGCCGTCAGCTAAGGTGGCTGGTAGGGACAGCTCCGGCCCAGGTCGGGCCACGTGGACTTTTATGGGAGGCTTCTGTCTTCGTGTTCTCCTTCCTGGTGTGATTGATCCAATCAGTCCTTGTACAGGCTTTTCAGTCCTTGAGTGGGCTTTTCCAGTGGTTGTCATGGCAATCATCAACTGTCTTGGCGCTGGTGAGTGGGTCACTTAGCATGTTAATAATTACAACAGGTGTATTATGAGGCTCAAGGTCCACTAGAAGTCAAATCCTCCACCATCCTGGACTCCATTAGTTCTAACCAGTTCTTGTTTCTTCTCTGCAGCTGCCTCCTAAGACTTAGGTAAGAGTAATTGGTTTCTAGTTGAGGAAGGGACAGGAGTATGGTCCTAAGGGTAACATCCGTGGTAACAAATGGAAAGTTGCTTTTAACCGGTATACCTGCAACCTGATGGACCCAGCCTCTCCCTCAAAACACCATTTCCAAAGATTCTGTTCATCCATGAAAAGTTTAAAGGGAAGTAGGGAAGTAATCTCAGTTAATCATTGAGGTGGGTTGTCAGAGTCCTCCCCCAATGCCTGCAGGCTTGTCCTATTCGCCTGCTTGCGCCTGCTCTTCTCTGACTCAGGGAGACCTGGGAGACGTCAGCTTTTCCATAAACAAGAGGCAGGGGGAGGGGCACAGGGTCCTGCTCTTTTTCACTTGTTATTGTTCTTTACGCTCACACTTCACTACCACATTCACAACACTTCACTTCACTTCACTTCGGACATTTCTGGTCACCAAATGTATAGGGTTTTTTCCTCCACACCGAGGAATTTTCCGTGTCACCATCCTACGATTTAACTCAATTCTGACACTGTCAGGAGATAGTGTCGGGTCCCACAGTAAGGGCTCAGTCCTACAAAACTGATCTCACCCCACTTCAGATGCCCATCACAAGTAGAAGTTCCCCAGGTTACCCAAAACTTCTGCCCAACTTAGCTACAAATCAGATGTTCCCATGGCCCCCTCCTTGGGTTCAGTTAATTTGCTACAGCAACTCACAAAAATCAGGGAAGCATTTACTTATACTTACCAGTTTATTAAAGGATATGATAAAGAGCACAGATGAACAGCCAGATGAAAAGTGCACAGGGTGAGGTCTGGGAGGGTCCTGAGCACAGGAGCATCACTCTCCCAGTTTGTGGATGTGTTCACCAACCAAGAAGCTTTATCATCTAGGCATGATATCATGTGGATTATAATCTCTGTAGGTCCCTGAATAGAGCCAGCGTAGTCCTCTCAATAAATAGGTGTTCTTTTCACCTCATTCATGGACAGATTTTCACTCAAAAATTAAAAAGCTCATCTTTTTATTTGTTGGCTTCTTGAAGCTCAAACCAGTCAGTGGGGCAGTATAGGTTTTTAAAATGAATCTAAAATTGTAAATATCATTTTTTAAGGTATTAAGATAATGTTGATGAAAGTCAAACTTAACAGTTGATTTCATCCATCAAAACCACATTATGAAAGCTGTTCTGCAGAAGTTAGAGCAACAATATTTATGAATGTACATAACTAGGTTCTTTACTTAGCATTCTCTAAAGGGACAAAACATTTATACACAATGTATGAACACCAACAAATAATTTTTTGAAGAATTTGTGCTGTACCCAGTAGTAAGGAAAATTATGCATCTATGAAAAAGAATAAAAACATTAATACATAAAGATGTCCCTTATATATTGTCACATTTGTTGAACTCAAAAATCAAGCATACTCACACCAAAAATGCAAACTGTTTCCATCATTTATTCAATTTAAATAAAGTTCAATAGAGCAGTGACCAAATATCACACGGCTTCTCAGCACAGTCAGAGTGTGTGTAAATCCACTTTTCTTCGCCATAATTTCACCAAAGCTCTTTTCATCTCACTGTTTCGCAAACTGTAGATCAGTGGATTCAGCAGAGGTGTGAGAAGTGAGTAAGACAATGACATCAGCTTCTTGGTTTCTGGGGAGTAGCCAGATTTGGGTTGTAAGTAAGTCATACTGGCCGTGCCATAGAAGAGGGTGACAGAGGTGAGATGGGAGGCACAGGTGGAAAAGGCTTTTTGCCTCCCAGTGGTTGATTTCATCTTCAGGATGGCAAAGAGGATTTGAGTGTAAGACAAGAGTATCAATAAGAAAGGAACCATGATAATCAAAACGGTGCCAGTGAATGCGTAGATTTCAAACATAAAGGTGTCTGCACAGGCAAGCTCTAGCACTGCAGGGGTTTCACAAGAGATATGATTAATTTCATTGGGGCCACAAAAGGGAAAACTAGACACCCATGATGTTTGCACAGTACCTAATGTGAAACCTAAGCCCCATGAGCATATAACCAATTTCATGAAAACCTTTTTGTTCATAATCACTGGGTAGCTCAGAGGACAGCAGATTGCAGCAAATCGGTCATAAGCCATTGCCCCCAGGAGAAAACATTCAGTTCCACCAAAAAAAAGAACAAAATACATCTGTGCAAAACAGCTCACAAATGAAATTGAAGTTTTTTCAGTGGCGAGGACCACCAGCATTTCAGGCATAATGACCGCGCTGATACTCACATCAACCACAGACAAGTTCAGGAGAAACAGATACATGGGAACGTGGAGGCTCTGTTCCAGGGAGATGATGACTATAATGATGGCATTTCCTGTCAGGGTCACCAGATAAATAATCAAGAAAATCCCAAAGAGCTGCTGTTGGAGTTCTGGAAAGTTAGAAAAGCCAAGGAGGATGAACTCAACCACAGAGCTTTGATTTTGCCTTTTCATTTCAGTAGTGGAGCGTATTTTGTATTTATGCACATAGTATATAAATTATGAAGTCATAGTCCAATAGCTGAGAGTCTGTGTCTGCATTCACCCCAGATATTCTTGGGAGAAGATGTAACAAGGAACCCATCCTGACAGAAATTCAGTTTGGCAATTTTGAAGAATAGCCAGTTATTCCAACGAATGAATCTCTCAAATAAAAAGGAGGAAGTGAAGAAGTCTGGCTGAGAAATCTTGTCTGAAAAGTACAAAATAATATGAAATTTCTTTTGCAACTTGTACATTGTGTAGTTGGAAAACAAAAGTAGCCTTAAAACAAACTGAAGTATTTCATAACTTGGGTTCCATTCCCATGACATTGCTACCAGTATCATCTAATTTTCTCAATTTTACATAAATATGAAATTTAAGGCTGCAAAAAATAAAGTATAAAAAGTTGACAAATGGAAAAAGAAAGCCACCAAAATTTTGGTAATAGTCTAATAATTCAAAGTTACAGCATAGTTGACTGGTATTTATTATAACTATTAATCTTGTTCAAAATCCCTTTTTGTGATTTGGTTAAATATGTGATTGGCCTGCATGGGAAATTTCGAGGATAAATTCTCTACGGCTCATCCTTGTTATGATGACTTAAGAAAAGTCCATTTTGGAGGGAGGGTATAGCTCAGCAGTAGAGAGACTGCTTAGCATTCACGAGGTCATGGGTTCAATCTCCAGTACCCCCATTAGTAAATAAATAAATCTATTACCTCCCCCCCAAAAAGAAGTTTAACTTCCTAAAAAAAAAGTGCAATATTTATCGTTCTGAAATTGTGATTTAAACATTCCCCCCCCCACCTTTCTCCCTCCTCTCTTTCTCACAAAGAAGTTCATTTAATCACTATTCAGTGCTGAATGACACTGACTCAGCACCTACCATTTTCTAGGCTCAGTGACCTCCAGCACACATGGGACCCCACAACCACACGAGAGAGCATTTTATCCTTACCTCCATACTCTCTAATTCCTAGCTCTTATAAATTGCTCTATTTTTCTCCATTACCACGAATTGACATTATATAAAAATGTATATGTAAAACCTAACTTCCTCACTAGAATACAAACCCCAGGAGTCAAAGATTTTGTTTGTTCTTTGCTATTTTCACAATGTCTACAGCAGCCCCTGGCCCATAGTAGACACTAAACCAATATTTGATGAATAAAGGAAGAAAAAAAATGAGGAAAATCCACAAAACCTTCAAGGAATAGAGTGTCTAAAAGGAAAATGAAACCAGCACACACACTGTTGGGAAGCGGAGGTGATAACAAGTGCTGTAGACCTTTCAGTGAAGTGCTGAGCACTTCTGATGGGGGAGGGAGCGTGAAGAAGCAGAATCGCAGACTGCCATCAGTGGAAGGAGGAAAGCAGAAGGAGGGGGATGGATGACTGGCTCAGGGCAAAGTTATCTGATGACAACTTAGCATTACAGTGGAGGCCTGTTGGCCTTTGTGTGATGATTCGAAAACCATCAGAAATATGCTGTGGAACCCAGGAGAACAGAAGGATACAGCAAGTTGAAGACATTGAATGTCTTGAGTGCAGATCAGTAGGACGTCAGCAGACACTAGAAGGCAAACTGATTTATTTCTCAGTAAATCATCATTAAAATGGAATGCATTAACCATAATAATTATATTTAAGATATTAAAAAATCACCTAGAATTAGTAAAGTATAGTCATAGGATCAAACATTTAAAACATATTTCTAATGGAGAAAAAAAGAATAATGTGTTTCATTTGCAAATATTTAAAAGTGGATGGATTTTGAAATTAGAAAATTTAGAGTGTAATATAAATAAAATGAAACCTTTGGGGGCTGATTGTAAGCATGTTAAGGAACAAAAGTTTCTTGAGTGATAAAGAGTAAATGACCACAGATGGTCCACAATTTCTCTATAACTTAGAAGACTGATGCTGTCGTGATAACTTATTGATATAAAATACTTGGGCATATCACCCCCTTCTCCAGGCTTCATCCTTACAGCTGAAAAAAGTTGGAGTTAGACTTATTTACTAAATTCACATCTCTGATTGTTGCCTGAACCTTTCTCTGAAATGAAGAGAATAGACTGACTAACATCAACACCAAAGAGTCTACTGAGTCAAATATTTCAGCTGTGTCTGGTGTTTCCTGAGCACTGAG